GCGTTGAGGGCAAGAATAACAGACGGGTGAGTACTTTAAGAGACTCACTTGGAAACGTCTAGACAGATATGGGAGGAAATCTATAAGCTCGCACTAAAATTTGGCTGGCAGGGTGGTGTATTAATAAATTGAAGATCGAGGGGAACGGGATGGGGGTTCCGATTGTTCAAGTAAATTAATGGGGTGCACTACGGGCGGTGCTAATTTAGGACCAAAGGCACCATGCCCCCCCCCCCCTCCCCTTCTCTCTTTATTTTGTTCTTAGTTCAGTTTAGTAAGCGCTTTACGGGGCTCGCAACTGCATAAGGTCAAATGATCGCCCTTCTTATTTGTCCGCAATAATCAGGTAACCCCGTTATAGACTTCATTCAAAAAGAATAGAGATCTTCTGCAGCATCACTGGCTGTTTTAGAAAACTAAAAATACATTTAGATAGTGCCAGACATATTTGAAGATGGTTAGTGGGCGCCACTAATAGGTCCTACACTCTCTACTTTCTCTCTGCTGTTTCTGTCTGCCTGTCTTACTTTTTTCCACCACTAAATGACTATTATTGCGTGGATGTGCTTCCCTTTACTCAAACAAACAAACCAAACAAAACCAGACGGAACCTGGCACTTGACTTGGGAAAGGAAGATCATTTGAGATTGCAGGACACTTTTCACTGTTTGACTTGCAATAGCGTCTGCGCAATGGTAGAAATAAGACACACGAGGTCCCCAGGTGATCTATCTTTAGTCGGCGCCCGTGACCTATCTGCTCCTATCTCGAGTCTTCAGCGACCGACCTGACTCCAACCATACCTAGGCGCGTAGCCCATCAAACAGTCGCTCACCCACGGTTTTTTGTTATTCCATACTCACAAGACAGCATCACTGAAGAAACATAATCACACGGAGACTTTACGCATGTTTTGATTCTGCCGTTTTATTTTTACTGGCCCACGCATGTCCAGACGCAATAGGAAACCTGAAGCCCATCGTGCCTTGATTTAGAGTGCACTTGATCTGTGTAAATGGGTGCCTCGCAAGTACATTGTGCTTGGAATGAATTTTCGTATTTCTGACCTCCTTAATGACTCGGCCACATTCTTATACGGCACCATCCACACGCTACTGGCGTAGGCCACACCGTTGAGGGCAAGAAGCCCCCCCCCCCTCCCTCCATGTCTGACACGCGCGACGTCACTGCCTCGCGCTTCTGTATGTATCATATAAACATAATACCGTTGCCTCAGAATTACAAAATACTATTTGACATTTTTGGCCGTTTTGAGTTGCTGAGGCCATGAGATAAAAAAACCAAATGTTCTATCTGCTCTATCAAAATCGTCAGAACATTTTTGGAGTCTGTTTCAAGATATTCAAAGAATTGCATTCGAAAAAGCTTGACATGATGAATAATGTGAAACTCAAAATCTTTGACGTCAAATTTCTCTACACTAGGTACTGAGCAGATGGAACTTTGTAATTCTGAAGTAGCGATACGTTTCCCAGAAACTGACGACAGAGTCCCACTGGTACAATCAGTAGGTTTACAGCAATAAACACGGACTGAGCTTGCGTAGGGTTTAACTCTTTCACCCCGTAATTTGTTAAGGATTTTTGGTCCGGAGAAAAACGTCTTAGGGGGCTCTCGGTTTCTAGAGGTTACGGTGTTCGCCTTTCATTCAATAGGTACTGGGTTCGAAACCTGATAGCGACGGAATTTTTTCTCTCTAGAATTTTCTCCTTTCCCCCCCTTTCATGCTCTCGAACCCTGCCCTGTTGTCTGCTTTCGTCTTTACTTTCTACTCCTACCCCCCCCCCCCCTTTGTCGGTAGCCTAGTGGTTAGGCTACCGGACTCGTAAACGTGAGATTGTGAGTTCGGGGGTTCGAGCCTCTGCTCGGTCCGACGTTGTGTCCTTGGGAAAATCACTTTACACGAACTTCCCACTTGGCTCGGTCCTATCGGAGATGGACGTTAAACTAGGAGGTCCCTCCCCTTAAATAACCTAATAGTGTTGATAGGGGCGTTAAACCTATACCATTCACCATTTACCATTTTCTACCCCCCTTTTGCCCTCTCCTCTGAGCTCTTGACTCTCTCTCTGCAGCCTTTCTACTGCTACTCCTTGGCTCCTTCTTACGGCTGTCTTTCAGCCATACCTCTGATCTTATGGTAGGTATCCGAGCCTTCTCGGATAAGGGCGAAAAATCTCGGAGGCCCGTGTGCAAGTTTTCAACGTTAAAGATCCCTTGGTGGTCCAAAATCGAAAAGGTAGGCTTCGGCTGCCACCTGGGCAAAGTTTAGAATAAATACCTACCAAACTGTACATGTTTAATGTGTACTGCGCGCTCATATAAAAAGAGAAAACAATACAAGGGAAAAAACCCTCAACAAGCATGAGGGAGAATTCTAGTTGTGTACAAAACAAAACAATGTAAATTATGGTTTAAGTATAAACAAAACGAATCAATACATTCCCATCAACGACAAGACACAACAAGAATAGAGACATTGGTTATTAATGACAACAAAAATGCCAATTTTTTTCAAATGTAGTTTTTTTTTTTAAAACTCTCGAATCGACACAAATTAGACTTTTTAGGAGGCAGACCTTTGACCCTGCCTGTCAAGGCAAATCGGGGCTGAAAGTGATACAACATCCCAGCAGAAAAATTGAGATACTTGATAAGAATTGTCCCCACTCGGGAATCGGACTTAAGCCTCCTGCGTGCGACAGCCAAGCACCTACCCCCTACACCTCGGACTTATAGGGAATTTTTTCCAGTTTTCAAGGTCACCCCGCACGTCCGTAAAACCAGACGCTAACCGCAAGGCTGCATGTCCACCGAAACAGAAACCTACTAACAGTAAGGCTGCATGTCCACCGAAACAGAAACCTACTAACAGTAAGGCTGCATGTCCACCGAAACAGAAACCTACTAACCGCAAGACTGCGTGTCCACTAAACCAAAACCTGACCAACGTAAATTGTCCGTCTCTCGAGAAGTTGCTAGTTGAAATGGAACAGTGGTTTTATCTTAGCAATCAGTGAGAATTTCTTTTGGATGTGTCCACCAAAACACCGCGACTCCTCCAAACCAAAGACTGGTTGGTTTGAGTATCCCACACGGCATTTAAGTAGGGCTATGTAGTGACTCATCAGCAGCAGGCTCAGCAAGATTTAAGAAAAAATCAAATTTTCAGTTCGGATGAAATATCTAATGTCATATTTATAATAAGCGCCTCGAATAGCCAAAGTGTTCGCGTAAACCAGCTGAAAAAATGGGGAAGGGGGGGGGGGGTGGGGGTGGGGGGGTGGGGAGAAAACCCAGTACCTCTCCTCTCTTCCCACCCAAAACCCCCCCAACAAAAACGAAAGAACCCATTTCAGTTTTTATACCCGCCATGCATTCATTGACCTCTTAACTATTTATAGCCCGATACCGGGGAACTGACACAGTGTCGTCAAAGTTACTCACACGTTGGTGCACACGAACGCCGGAGAGGAACAAACCGAATTACCCCCCTTGGACAAAAAATTGGATCGTTTCTGCTTTGGTGAACATGCAGCCTTGACAACATTTTTTTGGCGAGCGTCATCACTTTAACTCACTGAGGACCCACGTTCCATTTTCTTTTCTAATATAAGTGTTTTTACACCCCGAACGATACAATTTAAATCATTTAGGAGGCAGGCTCCCGACTCTGCCTGTCCGGGCCAACCTTGGCTGAGAGGGATATAAAATTCCAACAGATAAGAAAGACCAGGACCAGGATACTAAATAAAAATTGGCCTCGCTAGGGAACGGAACTGGGTCTCCTGCTTGCGATAGCGAAGCGCCTAGAGCTGCCAAACCACAGAGGTCGGTTGCTAGTTACTACTTGTATAACACTAAGCCAGTTGATCGGTTGCCATAGATGGGAGTGTTTGGTGAGTACTCTGGTGTGGTTTGCTATTTTTTCCTCAGTCAAACGTCTATCGACCTAATCTCTGCTCTCTCTGTTCTTCGTATGTTACTCTCTTTCTGTTGGGATTGTGTATCTTTCTCAGTCCGGGTTTGCTCTTTCAGGCAGGGTCGGACGTCCGTCTCTTAAATTATCTAAACTGGGTCGATTTTTTAAAAAAGACTTTTTTTTGAGGCGGGGGGGGGGGGGAGGGGGCGTAAAATGACCTACACTCAAATCTTTTAACAGGCAATGTGGTAGAATTTTCCAGTTCCGTAGGTCTGACAGGCGAGTGACGTACGCTGTAGTGTCTGTTTTAGTCCCGTCTCACGTTTGAGAGCTTGGGCTCGGCTATCTCAACCGATTTCACCCAATTTGTTTCCGGCTTTGGCCCGCAGGAAGTCGGAATAGCCGAGTCCGGCTTGTGACCTGACACGCCTGCCCATGCCTAAAGACTTGCCTAATCACTCATGCTGTGAAGGCAGCACATCACATTTTGGTTTGACCTCAGACTGTCTTTGAGTTTGAAATGAACAGCAGTAGCACCCTTGCTGCTAGTAGTAGTAGGCTAATGACGATAGGGATGATGACGATAATGATGATGATGATGATGATGATGATGATGATGATGATGATGATGATGATAATAGTGATAGTGATAATAGTAATAACAATAACAATAACAATAACAATAACAATAATAATAATAATAATAATAATAATAATAATAATAATAATAATAATAATAATAATAACAATAATAATTGTAACAACAATAATGATAATAAAAATGATGAAAATAATAGGCCTTCCTTAAATGTCTGACGATGAGCAATTCATCTACAGAAGAGAATATTAATAAATTTCTTTATACGGATATAGAATAAAATATACATAAATAATTACACTTACATAACCCATTTCCACAAGGAAAGGGATCAATGCGCTTTACAATAGTACACAACATAATTTCAATGGTGATCTCTCCCCCCCCTCCACCCCCATCTCTCTCTCTCTCTCTCTCTCTCTCTCTTTCTCTCTCTCTCTCTCTCTCTCTCTCTCTCTCTCTCTCTCTCTCTCCCCCTCTCTCTTTTCCCCACTCTCCTTTGCACTTTCTTTAGCACTGCCTTTCGCATTGTTTTTCTCTCCCCACTCACTCTCTGTACAGTTTTACTAATATCGCATTGATAAGAAAACTACAAATAATATTCTCAATAAAAAGATGTAAGTTTAATTGCTTTTTAAATATTTCCCGGGATTTCAAGTCTCTAACAGCGAGACATGATCACCCTAGCTCAAACTATCAGCGCACTGCGCAGTGGCGACCAACAATGGCGTTTATGTAGTCTCTGTATATTTCAGTATGTATGTATATATTATGTGTATGTGTCTCTGTAGGTATATATTATGTATCTATGTACCTATGTACCTATGTACCGTATTTATACATGTTTATAATACATTGTATGTATTTATAATGACATTGTAAACTAATTTTCAAAGGGAAGCAATAAAAGTAGACTTTATTTTAATTTACATGAAACAGCCTCGTCCAAGTCAGAAATTCTCGGAATCTTGAGCACGTATCACGTCAAATGTCAAATCACTCCTTCAAACAACCTCGATCTAGTCAAAATTTCTCTGAATCTGAATCTTGAACAAGATCTCACAACGAACGTTGAACCACTCCGTCAAGTAGCGTCTCAAGTATCTGTGATTCTCTAGAACTTTGAAAAAGATCTCACGTCGAATGTCGAATCGCTTTTTCAAACAGTTTCGCACGCTCCGAATCACCCCTTCCAACAGTCTCGCTCGTGTCTGTTGAACCACTATTTCAAACAGCGTCATCAGTGTTTGTAATTTTCAGGAATCTTAGATACGATCTCACGTCGAAAGTCGAATCACTCCTACAAACACCCTTTGGCCCATGTCGAATCTCTCTTTCAAACAGTTTCTTCCGCTTCTGAAATATCCTTCAAACAGCTCCCCCAGTGTCGGAAATTCTCTGGAGTCTTGAACATGAATCACGTCAAATGTTGATTCACGTCTTCTAACAGCTCAACAGTGTCAATCATACCCTCAAATAGCATTGCCCGTTTCTGAAAAGGCCATCAAACAGCTTTACCTGTTTGAAAAATACTTCAAACAGCATTGCTCGTCTCTGAAAAATCCTTCAAACAGCTTTGCCTGTCTGCAAAAGTCCTTCAAACAGCATCACCCGTTTCTGAAAAGTCGTGCGCGTCATGTTTGACAACACTGTAGTGTGACATGGTGGTCATTCTCGTGGCATGCGAATAATGCCCGTTGATCGCAGACCTCCCAGGCGCCAGAAAGGATTTGCAGCAGCAACAGTACTTCCGAAGGACCTTCTGGAAGGCCCGCCTGAACTTTGTGGAGACGATGTTGTAGATGATGGGGTTCCCCGCGCTGTTGACGTAGATGAGGAGGCGGCAGAAGTACATGAGGTTCAGGAATGGGCTGGGTCCCAGCTGTTGCATCATCCAGCCGGGGGGAGAGAAGATGTTGAGCAGTGCGATGATGCGAAAGGGCAGCAGGCAGACGAAAAAGAGGACGATGATGCCTACCAGCATGATGACCAGTTGTTTACGGTTCTGCTGGGACTGAGATTTGGCCGACTCGGTCATCTGTTTGCATTCCATCGTCTGTGTCATGACCTGTGGGGAGGAGGTGGATGGTTGAAGGGGTCAGAGAGATGGAGAGGTAAAGGAATGGATGGTTGGAGGAGTTAGAGGGAGGTAGAAAGATAACACGAGATGGATTAGTTGAGGGATAATAGAGATGTAGAAGGATGGATGCTTGACGGAGTTTGAGAGATCAAGATCAATGGAAAGAGACGGCTGATTGGAGGAGAAACACACTCTCTCACTCTCTCTTTCTCTCTCTTCTATCCATGTTCAGATACAGAACTCACCTTAACAATGGTGAGTGTGTACAGAGCGACCAATAAGGTGAGCGGCACCACAAAGACCAGCACAAACCTTCCATGTCTCTCTCTCCTCCCTCTCCCTCTCCCCCTCCTCACTCTCTCTCTCTGCCTCTCTCACCCTGTCTCTCTCTCTCTCTCTCTCACCCTGTCTCTCTCTCTTTCTCTCTCTCTCCCTGTCTCTCTCTTTCTCTCTGTCTCTCTCTCATTCTCTATCTCTTTCTCCCCCAACTCCTTATCTCCCCCCCTCTCTTTTTCTATCCCCTCTGT